GACATGATCTAACTTTGATTTACCGCGCCCCTTGTTTATCGTAATACGGTAATCAATCAACCAATATCGGTCTAAACTATCGGATTGTACTAGACGCATGTCGGACAATATCAAGATAAAAACCGTTGAACGATCCCCCAGCAATTGACCAGAATATTGTTTCCTTTGGCGAGGCTACTTCTTGGCATAACCGCTTATCAAGGGACAGTACATCAAAGATAAGGTATCCATGCATATCCGCACCAAGTCGGTCGGTGACATGTTTCCCCAGAGCAGGCGGTGGGGTACAGACGATCACCTGATATGATATAACGAAAAGGTGAATCTGATCATGACTGAAGTTCTCAGAGTGGTCTCAGCGAAATGGTGGTCCATGTGTATAGGTTGATGAGGCGTTGCTTATATCATATTGCAATAATCCAGACTTGTCTGTCTAAAATCACTCTTATATCAAACCTCCCCTGACACAACCATATTCGAGGTTTCGGTAGGCTAAGGTCAAACATTTTTGTCGTAAGTCTACTAAATTAACGTTTGCCACTATATTCCCCTTGTTAATTTACAATTCCTCTTATTAACATTTCCAATAGGGGTTCTTCTTCAGAAAAATCGCCTGTGTACTAATTTTCATTTACGAAGCCCCTTAACAGTTGTACGGCATCAGACTTTCTAGATTGAATCAAATTATCCTCTGCCCATTGAATATCATGTTTAACCTCTACGTCAGATACTTTTAGATACCAATATTAAAACATCCTCGGCTGTAATGCTATCCATATTTTAGATTTCACTAACTAGCGCAAACCTTTCACAGAAGCAAATAACTTGGATTGATTGATATGTCATCTACGTTTTCAGGTTCGAAGCTAAATCGTGTTTTAAAAATCCTTATTTTTCCTTCTCTGCAATGGCTTAAAAAATAATAAAACTCGTCTAAATCTAAAATACTGCTTGCCTCTCTTAAAAGTCTAAACATAAGCGTTTTTTGTGGTCGTCAGCTATATTACTGCTTGACCTTGGTGTTTTCAAAAGTTAACCTGAATCACTAATTTTATAAACGAAGAAGCGTCTGAACGACTAATAAAGTCTTTTTTTAATTTTAAAGCGTTTTTTTTTTATTGTGTTTTTTTAGAAAAAGTAAAGATTCTTATTAACTGATTTTTAGATTGAAATTTTTGAAAAAGCATTAATTCTTGGTTATCATCTTTGGCAAATCCTATAATCGATTTAATAATATCTGGTCTTATATGCTGGCTTCTAATCGGATTAATACGCACAATATTTGATGTATTCATCTTCTCCAAATATGTTGGTAATTTATAATCTTCTATTATTAGTATCTCTTCATCATCAGCTTTATTCCCAGGTGAAAAAAATAACAGGTCTTTTATCAATCAGACGCTTATTATCTTTATAAGTTGTAAAATTCTTATATTGATTATACCAATCTTCTAACACCTGATTTTTAGCGTTTGCACCTTCTATAGGTATAAAATATAGCTGCCTATTTCTTCAATAGGATCTATTGTAACTGTAAGATTAAAACTATACTCGTTGAACATTCATTTTCTCCGTATGTATATATACATTATGAGTAATAGAAATGGTTACAACATTCAATTTCATGTCGCTACCATACAAGATATCTTTAGATTTGGCAATGAGAATGCCGTTTACGTCTTCAATTTTAATAGAATAAATACGGTATCTCAATATTTTCATTGAAGGATTAAAATGGTATGCACCAACATCTGCCATTGCAAAAATAATGATAAGTATACAGGCAATTGTTGTTAGTGGTTGACTTCCAAATGATGAGTTATCACTCCTAATAAAAGGCAATAACAAAATAAATAAATAGGCTAAAATATCGCCTCCTTTACTTTCTACTTCTTTGATGTGTATTGAAGCCTTTGGTGATTTCTTTTCCGCGAGTTTTAAAATTCCCAAGCAACCAAAAATCATTAATATAGATATTGCAAAATAAAATATAAAACATTTAAATGAATGATTGCGTTCCCACTGACTTATTCCAAAAATAAAACTACTGGCGAGAAAGAAGTAAATATCAAGAAACTCCTTGTGAAATATCTTATGATCCACCTTCCAAACATGTTACTTGCCTCCATATATCCGTTTAATTTGCAACTTTAGGTCTAATAACACCATCTATTAAATTTCAACAGAACTAAAGTGCCAACGTTAATTTAGACCAGAATCAGTAAAGTTAAGGCAAGTATTGTTGCTCAATGCAACAGGTGTCAAATACCTGAACGCCGAGTGAGGGCGTTTTGTGTTATACACCTGTGTCATAAAAAGCCCAATGAGTGCTTTCGCAACCATAATTATATCACAATCTCGGTTTAGAGAGTAGCAAATTTCCGATGGCAGCGTTGCTATAAACATGCTACCCTTACAGGATTATACCAAATCTGAAAAATAAATTTCGCATTTCGGGGATTTTGAAACTGATATGAAGCCGAATGTCCGAGGCGCAATGAATTGCGCGACTACGAACGCTGCTACTTTCGAGAAACTCAGGCATCTACAAACGGTTTCAGTTTGTAACTCTGTTCGGGTAAGCCCTGATATATTAACTATTTGTTAACTTTTTCTGGTTTCGTTGCCAGTTGATTTCCAAGGCGGAAATTATGAACATTGGCGATTTGTTCATTTTCTGTGTTCATACGGCAATAGATCACGAATCCGCGCAATACGTAGGTTTGGAGCGGTGATCGCGCGTGGCTGCGATGTGCTTTCTCTGGCGATGTTCATGAAATTGTTCATGATTCTTTTTTGCCCTCTGTAAAGCAGGTAAACTCCGTTGGGATATGGGTTGATGCTGTTATTGAATTCTCAGTTCCTGAGATTTTCATGAACAATTGGGCAATTTTATTTTTTGTCAATACTTTTCTGAAGTGCTACGCGTATAGTATTTGATTAGCTCGGTGGCGTTTGGTGGATGCGGTTTGTTTTCAGTTGTTCATAAAACGCGAAAATCTTGGTTAACGTTCGTGAATTTATGTGGTCTATACATCGTCTTATAGAGAGGTTGCTTCTGTGTTTTTTAGAGTTTTGACGACTACATTCTATATGATAATATGTTTATACTATATGATAATATGTTTATATATGATAACATATTTTATTTAAAAAGTCAAATTATTTTGCCTGTATCTCGGATTTCTTAGAGGCGCGGATCCTAAGAGGTCTTTTGACAAACTGCTGGCTCCCATTTCTGAGGACGGCTGCAATTCCGTGGTAAGTAGAGTTAGGAAACCGCCTCTACCGAGCCGGGTTATCCAAAATCGTTCCAAAGATGGAAAACTATAGCAAGCTTACAATTAAATGGACACTAAGACTTGGTGAGGTTAGGAAACCTCGCCAGCGGTGGTGAAGTATTAGCTTCTATTGTGTTCAAATGTTTTTGGGCTTTACCTATCAATAGCCCGAACCTTACTATAATTCAGTTTTTCTACTATTTTTCGTCCATGCTATAATAGCGGATCCGAACACGGCAAAGCCAAAGAAAGTAAAGGGCATCTGCCACAGAAGAAAACTCATGTGAATATGGATATATGAGTGCGCCTTGAAGATGACAAACCACGATAACGGCGCAAGAATTGAAAACCACGTCGTCCAGATTAATGCAATGTAGTGCCGTCGTTGCTCTACTATCTTCTTTTCATTGCGACGGAAAACAGTAGCACAGACATCACCATAAAAAGAACGATTAGGTAAAAATAGCGGACTTTCATGGAATTATAGACGAAGGAATTATAGATAGATAGATATTTGTTCCAATCAAATAAAAATACCGTTCACGTAAGTCCTGACCACTCCTAATCGGTACGGCTTCGACTGGCAACATATACCTCTCAGAGAAAACCTTGTGCCTCTCTCGTGTCTTTCGCTTTCCGAAGGAATATACCACAGGCCCCAACGCCGTCCATGAATCCGTCCTTCCGCCCGACTCACTTCGCAAGGGAAAAAAAAAAAAATAAATGTGGAGGAAAGGAGATGAAAAACCAGTTGCGGAAAAGAGGTAGAAAGGAAAAGAAAGAAGGCTAAAATAGAAGTGGAAAAAGAGAATAGCGAGACAGCGAGAAGCGGGAGCGGAAAAAAAAAAAAGTCTGTAAAGGGAAGGGAAAGAATGGTGCTAAGAATATGGAGAGTGAAAGAGCAAAAATGGGGGACAAGAAACAAAAAAAAAAAGAAAGAAAAACAAAAAAAAAAAAAAAAAAAAAAAAAGAAAAAAAAAAGAGGGACTGGGCACTGAGAAGTGAAAAAAAAGGTCACTAAACCAAGGGGAAAAAATAAAAAAAAAAAAAAAAAAAGAAAAAAAAAAAAGTGTCAGGAAGAACAAAAAAAGTGGGAAGAGGGAATAGGAATAAAAGTTGATTACGGAATCTAAGGGGGGAGAACTGAAAAAGGCGCAAGGGTGGGTGGATAGGGGAAAATAAGGCAGGAAGGGGAAGAAAAAGAAAGGGGGGAAAAGAGAGGAAGGGTGGCAGGAAGAAAAGGAAAAAAAAAAAAAAAAAGTAAAAAGAAAAAAAAAAAAGAGAAAATGCAAAGTACGCGAAAAAAGGGGGGAAACAGTGAGAGAGCCTGGGTATAAGGAAGACGCGAAGAATGAGATTCAAACATTGAGCAAAGAAAAAAAAAGGAAGGAGTAAGGAAAAGGAACGTGCAGTGTTACAAGGAAGAAGGGAGAGGCGAAGACGAAAGGAGGGAGGGACATACAAAATTGCGGGAGAGAGCGAGACATATGGGGAGAGGCTCAAAGAAGGAGAGCGACGATCGAAAGAGGAAGTGGGAGAAAATTCGGTACGGGTATAGGAGGAACGGTAGGAGAGGGGAAATAGTTGGGGTGGGAAGTAAAAAAAAAAAAGGGAAGTCGGAGGAAATCCGAAGTGAAATAACAAGGGTCAAAAAAAAAATCAGGGTAAGTAGGGATGAACGGACAGAAGGGAGCGAGATGATGTTTGGTGCTGCCGCCCCTACATCGTGGCAACTTTGATGCCTTCACCTGAGGCTCGACACTTCTCAGGGCACACTGGATGACAGTACACCTTACCAAACTGCTGGCAAGTCTTCACCAGTTCAGGTAGACTGTGAGCAAACACCATGTCAACCTGCTCAGCAACGACCAATGTCTCTGGCTTGAAGCTGCTCGTAAGGTCAATGATCTGCTGTAAAAGAGGATTCTTCATCTTCAGAATCTCCCCCTGGCTGCAATTTCGTTGGCTCCCTCCACAAAGTGCTGGCAGCTCCTCAGCTGGCCCAGTTGCAGTTCAATCTTCTCTCTCTGTGCTGCCAATGTCTTTAGTTTTGTTTGCGTTGTCTGCTCTGCTTGACTCACAAAGCTCTGCCTCCCTCGCATCTAGCGCTTGTCGCACAACTACCACGACCCTGTGGATCTCTGCCTTTATACCCATCTTCTGTTCTACAACTGCAGCGCGCCGAGCATCCAGTGACTCAACGGATCTTTCTAAAGTAGCAATCTGTTCTCCTACTGGCTGAAGAGAATCCACGATATCTATCTCTTGCTTGGCAAACTGCCTCGGCCACCAGATCGTACTGGTGGTCGCGGTGCTCAGACACAAGGCAGTAGCTACATATCAGCTGGTTGCAAGGATCACAGTAAAACTCTGCTTCTTTTTCTGGGTGTTTAGAGCAGCGATCACTCAAACTGGCCTCCTTTAGACTCTCCTGTATCTGCAGTAGATAGAACGCGCCTTGGAGTTCCGAGACTCGCCCACTGGCAGTGGAGTGTCCTGGCGACATAGTGGACATGGGAGACTCCTGCCTTCTTCGTCTCGTGCGAACTAAAGGTTGCAGGCACTGCTCGCAATACACGTGGAAGCACTTGAGCCGCTTTGGTTGTTTGTAGGGCTCCAGACATATTCCACAGGTGACCTGGTCCTGGATCTTCTGGAGAGCTTTCTCGGCAGCAGTGGGGGGTTTGGCAGCCATGGTTCTGTCAGTAGTGCTATACAGACACGCTAGCGAGCCTTAAAAAACTACAGGAACAGCCCTTGAATACTTCTGATCCAGTGATTACTGGCCACTAGGGCCTTATATGGAGTCAGTAGTGACCAATCAGATCCAGTGGTTACTGGCCACTAGGGCCTTATATGGAGTCAGTAGTGACCAATCAGATTGCGCAATTTAAATAACCAAGTACTGTCACAGAAAGCTTGCGAAAGCTCTAGTAACAACTGACGAAAGCAAGCAAATAAAGGTGTATACTTAATGGGACATAACGTTTTGTGTTCATTACCAATATTCACAGTCACCTGACCGGACCATACTATATACTACACAGGTATATATACAGTAGTCTCATGTCTCAAGAAAGTTGGGGTGCAACAATACCAGCTGAGCATTTACGGAACTGTTGTTACAACTATCAATGCATTAGCAATTTTAATTGTCTCATTAATACGCGCAACACCAATAGTGTTTCTACCAACACAGCAAGTCTTTGTAGTCGAGCAACTTTTCATGTGACAACGTTCAAATTTTCACGCGTGCTTAGCAACACGTAAAACATTACGGTATGTACGTATGTGCATGCCCAACATATATTATTCAGACGACTAGGTAGGCTTGGTTCCTACGCCAGTAACAAGGCTGTGGTTGTTAGATTATAATGGATATTCAAATTTCACCTTACCTAGTCATTATTTTGTAGTTGATACAATTTTGTCCTGTTTAATCATAAACCATTCGACCAGTCTAAAGCTTACCGCTTAACCTTCTCATCCTCGCTCGCTCTCACCTGTTGGTATCCCTGACAACAGCTGAAGGGAGAGACGACATGCTCTCCATGGCAGCTGCAACCTCTGCCCCGCCCACTGGTCTCGATAACGAGGGGGCAGAGCTTCCGCCGTCTGTGGACTCCGCCTCTCCCGGTGGTGATGAGAGGGGTGTGGCAAACTCCTCATCTAATCAGAGAAAACATTTCATCAGAAAAACCTTGGTTTGCGAACCTCAAATTTATTACAGGGAGATTTAAAAATTTTACCAATTTTGAGGTTTGAGCATTTTTCTCAGGATCCGTAGTGCAAGAGGTGGTTCAAATATTTATGTCTTTGCCGCCGAAGTGCAATGAAATATCTCAGCAAAGCTCGATTGCAGGGTTGCAAATTTGATTTTATATTTACCATCATCATCTTCTGTCTCTGTGGTTGGGGTGTTGTCTAGTAGAACAGCTTGTTCCAGGCTCTTCTCCTGCTCCTCCGACCAATCAGATACACTGCCGAAGGTCACATGACCCAGGTCCAAGATCACCTGACATTCACACGGCAGGAATACATCATTCCATTTAACAACGTTACACACATATTCTGGGTAAAAAATATTCCTTCGTACAAAAATTTTGTGCAAACTATTATATTTATGCTACACTTTCTATCACGTATTTCTTTTACCATTTGGGTGTTTCTGTTCCGTACGTCCTCGGGGATGATTATTCTGGGAGCTGAAATGTCAAGTCTCACCGACAGCTGGTACTGACTGGCCTGAAGAGAACAACATAAAGTATCCAACTTTACTCAGTACACACAAGTCAAACTCACTGTATTTGCTATTCCTTCATCTCCCTGCCATTAAACAATCCAATTCTACCATTTTTTTAACTCCCTTCGGCAATGAATTTTGTGGGTCAGACTCTTCACCCTTACTTTACCTTTGTGTGTAATTTGTCATACTCTACTATCGTTCTACCTCTCTTTCTCTTTGTGGAGCTACTCTAAATCCATATACAAATTGCATTTAACCTTTTTCTCTCCCTCCAGCAGCTCCTCCAGACGATGTCTGATCCCAGCTGTCGTGTGAGAACGAAGCTCCGCCCCCAAATGGGCCCCGCCCCTTTCTCCCACCCAGGGGTTCTGGAGGAAACGGAAGAGTTTGTCGGTTGTGAAGCGACTGTAGACCACATCGAGTGGTCTTGAGTGAACATGGAGACTAGGGAGAGAGTTGAGATGTATAATTAAACATTGAGGTAAGATAATGAAAAGAAGAAAGTGAGGGGGAAGACAGAGAGGAAAAATAAGTGGTGAAAAACAAAAAAGATTTTACTGACTTGATCTTTCCCCTCTCTCCAGAGAGGCCCTCAGTCTGAAGAGAGGCGATTCCATTCCAGACTGGAGTGGGACTCCGTCCGCCTCATCCATACCACCACCCCCTCCTTCTTCTTCTTCTTCTTCTTCACCACAAGTCATCGGCAACTGTATAACACATGTAACAGGCACATGTATACACATAGTTGCAAAAACCAAAAACACACTGACTGTACAATAGCAATAGCAATGTTCTACTACTCATATTATAATACTGGAAACCAAAGGAAAAGATCTGCTGTTTTTTCATGGAAAAGATGATACGTTTGCCTTGCTTTGCCTTTCTACCTCGTTACCAATTCGTTGAGACATGCATGAAAATGAAAATTTTTTGCATGAAATTAAAATGTGTTTCGGTACAGAGCCACTTAATCGCTGTTCACACTTCACTTAACAGTAACGTGCATCTGTGAGCAATCATAACTCTCTCTCTCTCTCTCTCTCGCCTCCCTCCACACCTCACCTCAGATCCTTTGGGTCTCATGAGAGCAGGAAACAGACTGTCATCATCAACCTCGTCATTGAGGGAGAGTCCTCCCAATGAGAGCTCAAACGTCGCGCCGCGCACCCTCGGTCTGATCTCTAGGGACGAGCAGAGGGAGGAGAAGGAGAGAGAGACGAGCGGGGAGGGGCCTAGGAAGGGGAGGGTGAGGGGGGAGGAGGTGAGGAGGGAGAGAGAGCCGCGAGAGAGGGTGAAGGAGAGTCTGAGGAAGAGACTGTCTCTGTGGGTCGAGTCGGAGGGAGAAGATTCGTAGCCCAATTCCTGCAGTAGCTCTTCTTCCTCTTCCTGCACAATCGTGATCATTGAACTTGATATACTAACATTAAACTGGAAGATAATTGTATGTTATCCATTTTGTGCATATTAATTGAAATGTGGTAGTATTAATTATGAACAGAAACCTAATTGCATTATTTCATTGGGCCTCATTGTTAACATTTCAGAAAACTAATCCCGGACATACGTACTGACACACTCCCATTAAGGGAATAAGGGACCAATGCAGTGACCAGCACAAATAAATACCTCTCTGGGTGGTTGCTCTTGTTGCCCCTGGTAACCAGACATCCACCCAGTGAACCATCGCTGCATCACTCCCGGTTCCCGTTGGTTACCACTCTCCTTCTCAATCCTCGCCTGAGCAGCCTATATGTGCATCAGAACATTTTCCTTTGCTTACATTACGCTATTGTTGTTGTTGTTGTTGTTTACCTCTGCAAGGTCTCTCTCAGTCTTGATGTGAGTCATGACTAGTCTCCTCAGAACAGCCAACTCCTCGAAAGTCTGCTCTCTCTCCACCTCCTCCATCATCTTCCTGCCCTCCTCTGATACTGAGCCCTGCAGGACCACGTATATAGAACAGTGGAGACTCTGAAAATGGGACACTTCGGGGACATTGAAAGTGTCCTTGATTCATATTCAGACATTACTATGACACTAATGTATTATTAGTAGAGTGAAGTGAATTCATAAAATGACCGAAGCGATGACTGTGGAAAATTGGGCCTAACTGGACACTTTGGGGACGTTAGAGAAGTAAAAACCACCAATATTCGAAATACAGATGAAATCCACGTCCCACCATAGCTCACCAGAGCAAGATGTTGTGTATATATTGCGACATAGGCGATGTTCTGATTGGCCCTCTGCAGGAGAAACTCAGGAGAGCATCGTCTGTTCCTCTCTCTCACTCTCTCCACCACGCTCATGATGGCAAACATCCACCAACCTCTGGGACTAGGGGAATACAGAGTATCTGTCGCTTTTTGCTGCATGTGGCATATCTATAGTACACATGTGTACATGCTCGCGGAAAAAGGGTCCTTATGTTAAAAAAATAATTTGCCTTACTGTAATTGCGCATAGCAAACTTTGAATCCCATTTTCACCAAAAACTGTGTATTCAAGAATTTAACCCTTTGGACGCCATGGGTATCTCCTTAAGTAAGCAGAAATTGATCCTCGAAACCAATTTTGCTAGTTGTTAGGCTAAAGTGTATTATGGTTTGACTGATATTCAGTTGGGCCCAGTGTATCATAATTTGAACACAGAATATTGAGTTAAATCAGAACCTAAAGTGGTAGAGACTTACTCTTTAGAGACTGGGGCGAGGGGCTTCCATTTTCTCCACCTCCTCCCACTCCACCTCCTCACACTCTCCTCCCCACTCCTCACCAGACTCCCCCACTGCTCTTCCCTCACCTCCACCGGTATCTCCTCAAGATGGACCTCCAGCGAGACCCGCGGCCCCTCCGACGATTTCAGGGGGTCCCTCGAGCGATTTCTGATCAGTTTCACCTGGCCCCCCGTGGGTTTAATGATGACATCGACTGAGGGGGCGTGGCCTGCCATCATGCTGGCTGACATGGGGTCTTGCTGGGTTTCCATGGCAGCTTTCTTCTCCTGGAGGGCCAGCTGCGAAGGTAAGATTAGGAGAAAAATAAAGTGAAGAGGGAGAAAACAGAACCACAGTACTTTCAAGAAACTTATGGAAGAAAACTTCCACATTTCAGTGAAAAAGATCATGAAAAAATATATATATTTCGTGGATTACCTGATCTCACTGTTCAACGCATAAAACATCATAATTTCGTGAATATTGCTCTCAAGTTCAAAAGTTTCTCATGACTGTCATGATGCATAATTGCAAGTGATGTAATCTCACCACCAGAGCGTCTCCCTCCAGATCACCGACCATCGTGGAGTCCCAGTAGACGGAGAAATCGACCACGTCCATCAGCTTGTAGTCCTTGTCACACTCACTTCTGAACTCCTTTCTCTAGTGAAAGAGAGAGGAGGGAGGGAGGGAGGGAGGGAGACAGGGAGACAGGTGGTTTCTTTTATACCTATATGTATGTACATGATTATCAAAGGGAAAAGACAATGAATTGCTGATATGTGCTACACTGTAGATTTAAAATGACGATTGATATACATGTCTGAACACTGAAGATTTATCTAAATTCAAGCGGTGCATCAACTAAGTTTAATGTCAGTACAATATTATTATGCACAAGTGTGAGTGTAAAACGTTTGTCACATTGCCGTGAAGAAGAGAAACGAAAATATCATACCCAGTTCTCATCAGTTGACTGGACGAGATGGAGGATACCAATACTCCCAGAGAGAATGGGGAAACCCCTGGACTGGAGTCTTCGTAACGAACGTGGACGTCGTTAATGATGACCTGAACATCGGTGGGAAAAAGAGAGATAATTACATATATAGTATGGCATGCCACTACAAACAAGTGCACCTAATTAATTATCAAGTGCGAAGTCACCCAACCTCAACAGCATATACAGTATAACACATCCAAACAAAAATTTACAGGAAATTAATGTATTGTACATTTTGCCCAAGCCACATCTTTAATCAAGAGATTCCAAACAAAACTAATCAGTAATCTAAACGTATTGTAGTACATTTTGCCCAGGCCACATCTTTAATCAAGAGATTAATTCCCACCTGGAGGTTGGAGATGATGTTGGAGGGGAGGGAGAGGGAGAAGGGGGACAGAAACCACCACCCGCCACCTCTCTCTCTCTCTCTGCTCCTCCTTCCACTGCTGCTCCAGTCTGGCCAGCTGGGCCTGCTTCTTCTCCTGCCCTCTCCTCTCCTCCTCATCTCCATCATACTGTACACATTATTATGAGGATCTGTGTAGACGGCAGCTTAGCTTTGGAAATGAGTGCTTATGTGTCAGTCAGCATAAATACACATTTGCAAGGCAAAAAACGGCAAGACATTTTTGGAGGGCTGAGGGCTGAAAAATTAGTTACAGTTGCCACTGGGCTGCAAGTATTGACAGATGTGTTTGTACTAGCTACAACATACACCACATCTGACAACTTTGCTACAAGATTTTAAATGCAAAGTATTTGTATTCGAACAGGGTTGGTACTAAGTCTACGGCCAAGTGTGTTCCTAATGTGTTTGTATATACTACTTACAGTGCAGTGTTAGCTTCTTTGTATTAGGTTTATAAGTGATTACCTTGTCCGGGTGAGAAGGACCAAGTATTACATAGACCTGATCAATCTGGACCACCCATGGCTGACTCTTGATGTATCGAACTGGTATCTGCAGCTTCAGCTTACCAATAAAGCCTGCAACACAGACGAGGGGTGAGGGAGGCAAGGGGGGGGGGAATAAATATAGTCCAGACCTGTTAGAAATAAGGCACACCTGATACAATGTCGAAGGGTAGCTGGTGCTTATGCAGGGCATTCTTTTTCAGCGGCAGCTTCTCCAATTCCACGTCTCCTGTGGGTGGAAAGCCGCACACGAGGAAGATGCTATTCTAATTGGTGCGCACCAACAGACCCCCCTCGCGGGCACTCGAGATTCCTTCGCGACAGTTGCAGCTGAACAATGCTCTCACCTCGCCATCCGATGGTGAGCTGGTCCGTTACAACGTTTCCTACGTACTCGGCCACGTACGTGTTGAGGAAATAGGCTGCAAGGCGTTCCAACATCCTCGGCCTCGCGTCTCTACCGAGCGGCTCACGTGACGTCCCGTATTTTTGGCGGCTCCTCAAAGCTCAGCTTGCTCCTAACAGAGATGCGCCTGCCTATCAGATCGCCTGTATCTCAGAGATACACTCCACTCCACTCCACTCGCACATTTTGCACAAATCAGCAACTTCTGCAGTTTCAGCTCCGCCCACTGAAAATCGGGGTTCAAAGGTCAATCGTTGTGTTTTGAAACCACGCGCGCCATTGAAGAGAGTGGGAGGATCTCCTTCAGCGAAAAGCAAGGAGCGAAAGACACGTGGTTCCAGCTAGGGAGAGGAGATGTCCAGTCTCCTGCTGAACACGCCGCCTCGCTGCAGATCGTCGTCGTACGGTGGTAGAGACGGCAGTTACAGCTGGCCGGCCACCCCTTCCTCCTCTCCCCTCCCTCCCGCTGCATCACCTCTCTCCACTGACCCCGGAGTTGAGGAGCTCGTGAAAGTACGCACGGCTATAGCAGGGCATAATCAGCGACACATGCGGCAAAAAGACAAGGAAAATAGGGATTGGTGTAGCTAGATAGGAATAGGTGCAGGAAGATGGAGTGCATTACTATTCCATACTCCAATGATAGTCAAAGTATTAGGGATGGTTGGCTTATCTCTTCTTCCACCGGTGTACCTACAAAAAATGCGAAACAGTTGATATCCATATTACAGCTACGGGGGTGGGTTGGCAAAGGGACAGCGAATAGAAGGAAAATAGGGATTGGTGTAGCTAGATAGGAATAAGTGCAGGAAGATGGAGTGCATTACTATTCCATACTCCAATGATAGTCGAAGTATTAGGGATGGTTGGCTTGTCTCTTCTTCCACCGGTGTACCTACAAAAAATGCTGAAGCCGTTGATATCCATATTACAGCTACGGGGGTGGGTTGGCAAAGGGACAGCGAAATAGAGGCAGAAGAGGGATTGATAAAACTGCATTACAATTCCATACTCCAATAAAAACCAAAGTATTAGGGATGGTTGGCTTGTCTCTTAATTCCTCCACCGGTGTACCTCAACAACATCACTGACATGCTTATTGAATGTTGAGGTTACTTGTTGTTTTCTATCACTCAGCATCTATAAAAGTAACACATGCACGTTCCACCATTAATCACTGATGGCAGAAAGCTCTGAGTATAGTGTTTTACTACCCTGACTACCATAGAGGTTGGAGGAGACGTGTGAGAGAGTGTCCAGAGATGCAGGGATCTCAGTCATGAAGAACGATCCCGACAGTGCGGCCTTCATTCCTCTCAGAGTCAAAGAAATCAGTAAGGAGAGCAATGAGGAAAACACCTCCACTCGTTTACTGTGTAGTTTTTAACAGTGCATTTGGTCGTATGACAATGGTCTCGCAATTATATATATTTCACAATAGTCACAAGTTCACAGTCTCGCTTCAAAAAAAACTCTCAGCTGTATATTTTGTCTATTAAACTGTATTTACTCATTTTACAATAGGGTACACTTGTTGATAAGCACTCATGCTTTTTGTGTATATATCCCATGCATTTTCTGCTACGCACTCTCCCTCCACAGTACAAGAATGTCTGACTCCTTTGCCTGCTCGTGGTGGTGGCGCGATGAGGAGGAGGGAGAGAGCGGGGAGTTGGGGAGAGGGGAGAGGAGGGAGGGAGGTGGTGAGGTATGTGGAAATGGTGAGGGAGGGAAGGGGAAGGAGAGGGAGAGAAGGAACTGGAGACAGTGAGACACCAACTGAGTTTGTCTCAGAGAGAAAACGATGAACTGAGTCAAAAGTACATTGCAGTCAGTGAAAGGGTTAGTCGGCTAGCGTAAAACGGTTTAATTTCTTTTTGTGTATATGAAAATGTGAGAAAACTACAAGTGTACCATTAGAAGCAGCCGCTGCAGAATTCAAATTCACTTGAATTTCCTACACACCATCACAGGGAAATATCTTTTCTCTTTTTTCATGCATAAAATTGGCCTGTGTACAGGTTATAATCTATTACATACAAAGTGACCGTTTAATTACAAAAACTCTTGATTTTTTACTGTCTAAAAAGACCGCTTCAGAAAAGCCACTAAAACACACCAAATGAAAGGGTTTCCCCCTGACAACAGGTGGAAGAGATATTCAGACTAAAGGCGGAGGTATCGAGGCTCATGTATGAGAGAGCGAGTCTGACGGAAGAGAAGGCAGAGCTCCAGAGAACTCTACTGGACCAGGAGACCTCGTTCTCCTACACACTTCGCTGCTGCCAGAGTGAGATGACCGAGAGGGACCAGCTCATTGGGAGACTTGAGGCACAGGTAAGGGAGGGAGAGAAAGAGACAGTACTACTATATAATTATAGTGTATGGTCTAATTTTGTTATTTGGCAAGTGGAGCAAACCACCCTAGCTGTCTGAATGTGGGGTTTTATCTGCACTGCCACTGTGTTCCACGTGATTCTAAATATGCACGAAACATGCGCGAATGATTGAACTGCTCCCTTCACTTGCGAAGCATTCGTTGTAGTAATAATTATAGCTAAAGCGTTCACAAGTAGGTTTAGAGAGGCTAACTAATTGGGTAAAACTGTCCACAGTTAAATCAAAGCCAGACAAGATGTACTGAGTTGGAACTGGAGCTGAGCACTGAACAAACATTAGCTCATCAGCAGGAGCTACATCGTCAGACAGAGACGACCCGACTGCACAAGGAGGTGAGGGAGAGAATGGAGGAGGTGGAGAGGGTGAGGAGGGAGGGGAGGGAGGAGGGTGAGAGGGTGAGAGGGGAGATGCGGAACGAGGTGGAGAGAGCAAGAAGAGAGGGGGAGGAGAAGGCGGGACAGATGAGAAGGCAGGGAGAAGAAGAGTTGGTCAAAGTTAAGAAAGCAGCTGAGGAAAAGGAGAGAAAACTACACATGGAGATAAAGGAGGCACTCAGCAAAGCTGAGGCAAAAGAAGAAAGGTACACATGTAATGTATTCATAACCCGCAGCACTTAACAATACTTAACAATACCTCCATCAATGAACAAAGTTTTCGAAAGTGAAGCGCGCTGTAAAGGCATAAATATGTAGTTGTGAGTTTTTAGATAAACATGTATCCTACAAGAAAGGCACTACGAATGTTTATCATTGTCTTATATACTGTTACCATTGTGTGCAGGGTTGAGGAGTTGACTCTAATTAACGAGCACCTGCAGGAGCAGCTGGCAGAGAGCAGGGGGAACAACGATCGGCTGTCGGGAGACGTCCACCGTCTGTCTGTCTCCCTCAGCGCAGCTCAGAACAGGGCCAGTGAGATGGAGTCTGAGCACCGAGAACGACTCGCTGTGAGGACAATATCTCAAGTTTATAGAACTTGTATCATCTGTCGGCCTTTTTTCACCATACTTTGCAGACCTGACTCACTTGTATGCTTTTAACAGAAGCCCATACCCACTGAGCAATTCAAACTCTCCTCTCCTTGGTTACTTCCTTGGGCACCTTTACTGGACAACATTCACTCCCATAAACAATAAATACCTACTACATACACTCCCAAAATATGTACAACGCAGGAGTTGGAAAGGGCAAACTGTGGATTGAGGAAGATGAGAGAGAGGGTGGCACAGGTGGAGGGAGAGAGGGAGAGGGCTGGGAATGAGATAAAGAAGACAAGAGATGAAGTGAGACGGACAGGGGCAGAGCTGGAGAGGGTGAGAGAAGAAATGGCCCTGAAAGATGCAGACGCTGAAAAATCGAGACAAGTTCTTAAGCAGCAAATTGAAGGACTCAAACAACAACATTCACAAGAGGTATATACATGTATGTAATATAAATGAATGAATACGAATAAGTGTGTAATTACCACATCATACATAGTACATTTACACTCAGTAAAGTTGATGCACTCCAGGCATGAATAATTATTAAACTCTTAGTGTTTCATTTGTCACCATGATTGCCTCGTTACGGCAGGGGCTACTGGTAATAGGCGGGGTGGTGTCCATTGTTACTGAGTAGTCTCTGTTCTTCTTCTTCTCCGCCTTTGAAAATCCGTCGACACGGACACCTACACAGGAAGCAGATACACCGAACGAGATTCACTATTCTTTCGTGGATGTGAAAGTAACGGAAAATCTTGTGCGTCAAGTAGACCGAGTAGATGGTGTTCACAAGTAGAACGAGACACATTGTAAGACCCAAAATAATCTTTCGCTGCCACACAAAAGTTCCCTCTGATCGCTGCTGAGTGAAGCAGAAAAAGTTTGAAACCACCACCAGCACTCCATACATGAACACGGCCATATTGTTGTCCGATCGTTTCTTGTACGGACGCAGCGTTCCATACATTACAGCCAGAAGTGTAAACCCGCCCACAGCAAAGGGCCACGGGATGTTATCCGTGTATTCAAGGTTCCTCAGTAGAATAATCACCACAACGCACCCCAAGATTATCAGCAAAAAAAACACACCAGAAACCGGCCTGAGGTCTTTAGTGCCATTCGTCCCATCCTTGTACCCGTTTTCAAGAGTCTGGACGAAAATCCGCACGATCACTTGCCACCGTCGACTCAGCTGCATCTGATAGAATCGCTGTACTCCTCCGGTTCTGAAGAATGTTAGCAGGCAAATAGCCGGTATTATGAGCACCGCGGCGACCGTAAATGAAGTCATGATGATCGCAATGTGGCGGCCGTTAAAGTACTTTGTTGTCGGATCGTAGAAAACGGTCAGTCTTTCGGTCTTTTTGTTGTCTTGTGAGTAGGCAGGGGAGGTGAGCGCTGTGATAAAAGCAACAGAGGCCGTCTTGAAGAGATAGAGGAAAAAGAACGTTGCATACGTGTGGACCACGGCTTCTACTGGATCGCGATTAAGCTTGAATCTCTCCAAGACTCTCTGAAACGGTCTCCAGACGCACAAAACGAATCTTATCTTATAACTGTGGAGTTTTATGAGCACTGAGATTACGGCAGTCAATAGGAGTAGATACACGACTGGGAAAAAGTCGAAAAATGGCACCATGCAGTCGTGTACTTTGGGTACTGATGCAAAACGGTGGTACGACAAATCTAAGGAAATCGAGTGTCCAGATACCAGATAATGTGAGTCCAAGTCTCAAACCACCCTTCATTATACTTCCACCAGAATAGAGATAGCTCATCGCCAGCCCGGCCGAGTACCGAAACATGAAGGTTATGGAGTTGCAAAACACGACGTAGTGGAACATGTTGGGTCTGGTGAGATCTACGCGAAACAGTAGGACTACTCCGTAGAATATGGATATGGGGAGGATTTGAAGAGCAAAGTATTTGAGTGAACCTGAGACGAGGCTGCATTTGGTACACTGTATGCCAAAGGAGTAGAGAGCAGGACCGTAACCTTCCTTCCTCTTACAGTGACCACAATATGTGTAATTAACACCGACATCTCTGTACATTCTTCCACACAAGTATTCCAGTGCTTCTAGTGCATTCATTGTCCTGTCTGTTGTGTCATTTTTCATGTTAAGGCACACGAGGAGTTTATGTTTGTCTACCAGGCCCTCGGCGGGATAGATATAGGGGATGTGTGCCACCACAGCATCTCCAGATTTTCTTCTGTAGCCAATGGCCTTTCCGAGCTGCAAGTAGCTGAAGTTATCTTTCTCGGAGCAGCTAATGTAGCCTTCAATGTCGTCATTACAGAGACAGGCATTGGTGGTATTGTCTCTATAGAACCACACAGGGCAGTTGTTGCAAAGGCAGATTTGAAGAACTTCAGAACACAGAAGAACCACCAGGAGACTTAGTTTCATTTTTCTTCTTCCACAACTCCCTATTCCTTCAATCAAAGCCTCAGGACTTGGTCAATAGCTGTAGGGCTCTGTTAGTCCACTTCACACTATCGGTTTGTGAGCCTTCAGATGTTTTTACTCTTGGATATACAGGTAGCTTACGGACAAGATTGGTGACTGTAGGAGTGTTGTTGTTGATGCTACCAGCGCCACTGTCTAAAACAGAGTGTTTTTCAACACACGGTTCACTTTCACCATAAACTGGACCTGTGCGATCTTTATCCCAATGAAAACAGGCTACCTACTGTATATATAATTATATATATATGTACGTTGATGCAGTGGGTGTATATACGGTGCAGTGTATGTAGTATATATCCAGGACTGCACAAACACACACTACATACGTGTATCAGGTGTTGCGCGTGTTATCGAAACTGTGGGCCGTGTTAGGAATTTGGAGCATTTTCCCAAAACGGAGCTTCGAATGCCTCACGTGGAATAACAGATGCTGATGTGTAATACGTGCATTGGAAAAATATTCTGCACACCAGGGACTGTGTACTGGGTCTCCATTTTTATCATCCTCTAAGTTTTATTTTCCTGAAGCCTGGGATAAAGATGATTGCATGCTGTTCCACAAATTATGCATACAGTATCAGCTGTGAGGTAGCATTTCAGAATTATCTTTCACAATGTTAAGATGAGCAGAAAACTCATTACAAACCATCCTAGCATAAATTGTCTCAATTTACTCTTCGTTTACAACAGGGACATAATATAATATGTGTAAAACTTGGCCTTGCCTTTCTTTAAGTGTCTTTTTCATGGCCACTATAGGAGAATATACTCTCTGAGAGACTGGAAGAGACAGAGGGACAGCTAGAAAGAGAGACAAGACAGAGGGAGGAACTGGGGAGAGAAGTGGCTGCACTCAGCGAGAGCCTTGCCCAGCACAGAGACATGTTGGAGGAAACAAAGCATCAGAGAACCGCCCTCAATACAACGGTAGCCTCCCTGGCCCAGGAAAAGGCCGACATTCTGAGAGAGAAAGTCACACTCGAAGTTCGCATCGAGTCTACGAAAGACACGGTCGAGTCCCTCAAGAGGAAGCTGGGGCTGGTGACCGAAGAGAGGGACAGGCTACAAGAGGCGGTGAAAGATTCAGAGAAGAGAGTGTTTCTAGCTGAACTGAATAGATCAGTTAGTGCCTCGAGAGACGGGAGCTGTACGAGAGACTCAGGAACCCCAATTTGCTCAGTTTCATCAATGAAACGAGTTCTTCCGTCTCTTCTCCCGCACGCAGATGATGCCAGACACGAGCAACTCTTGAAAGAGTACCGGCCGCTGTGCGAGACTGTTTCACAGCTGAGGGAGAGAGAGGCAGAGCTGTCGTCCCAACTTCAAGAACTTGGTTCGCAGTACGAGGCACGACTCAGAACGGCCAGAGAACATCACGGGAGAAGCATCGAGAAAATCAAACATAAACACGATGAGGTGAGGGAAAGGTGGAAAGTAGAGACCGAAGAGTTGAGAAAGAAGCTTCATGACACGCAAGTAAAGATGCAAGCTCAGTCTATGGAGCTCCAGACTGCTAAGAAAACAGTTGAAGAGAGGGAGAGAGAGAAGGCAGAGTTGATGAAGGAGAGAGACACACTGCAAAAGGAGCTGGAGGCAGAGAGACAGAGAGGAGATGAAGCAAGGGAACACCTGGCATCAGTAGCAGCAACACATTCAGAAAAGGTAGCGTTGATTCAACAGAAAATGGAGAGGGAAACAGAGAAATTACTAAATAGGCAGAATGAACTGCTCAGCAACAGAGAAGAGCTCAGAACGGCACTGGAGAAAGCAGAGGAGAGAAATTGTGGACTGGAGCAGTCTTTGACCTCGACCACTGGGGAACTGGAGGAGCATTTGCAGAAACTGAGTAGGTTTGACGCTGAGGTGGAAAGGTTGCAGCAGAGTCTGTTAGAGTGTCAACAAGAGAAGGAAATGGAGGTGAGAGGGATTCAAACCCAGCTGGCTGAGTCACGGACACACTGCCAGAGACTACAGAGAGAGAAGGAAGGACTTGAGTCTGCACTAGTGTCCACACAGAGCAAGTGCTCCTCGTTGGAGAGTGAGCTCCTGGTAATCAAGGGGCAATTATCGTCCGTGACAACGCAGCTGGATTCATCACACTTGAGTCAGAATGAGACTGAGGCAAACTATCGTGCTCTACTGGCTGCTATTGAACACACTATACGTGAACAGAACCCTCTGCATATGGTGGAAAGTACGGCAGGGAAACCTCGTTTACTGGAGTCACCTGAAGCTGTTACAGAGTCTCTCGTTAGAATGAAAAACGAGAGGGACGCACTAAGAGAGGGGGCTGCTCAGACACACGAGTCTCTGGAGCAACTCAGAGCAAGTTTGAAGTCAGCCACAGAAGAGAGAGAAGAAGCTAAGGCTACAGTTCAACATCTCCAGTCATCGCTTCAAGCCTTGCAGGCAAAGCTTGACCAAGCCTCTAAAAAGCACGAGAAGGCTGTGGTACAAGGAAAAGAAAACGAGAGCAGACTATCTGCCCTCCAGTCTGCAAACCAGGAGCTGAAAATTAACCTTTCCAGCCTCAAGAACCAAGTAAAATCACTCTCTTTGAGCAAAGAAACTCTCAAAGAACAATCTTCCTTGCTTGAAGAGAGGCTGAAAGAAGCGGAGAAAGCGAACAAGGCCCGTGTGAAGGAAGTTCTGAAACTGACAAACACTGTGACAGTTCTGAAGTCTTCTCAAGTCAACAGAGACAGAGCAATGGCAGAGTTGGAGGAAAAACTCCGTGCTACCCAGAGAGAGGCTGTGCAGGGAGAACTAAACCTCAAGACGGCAGAGAGAAAGAGACTAGCCCTGGAACAGACGGTGGCTCGGTTTGAGCAACAGAGCCTGAAACAAGAGAACACAAAGAGAGAGATGCAGTTGCACGCCAGACATGTCGAGTCCCAACTGAAAGAAATCAAGGAAAAGTCTCAGAGTCTTCGGCATGAGCTGACAATATCAGAGGCAGAGCGAGAGACCCTCAGAGGAGACGTGGAGCAGTTGAGTGTCAGTCTTCAGTCGGCCACCAGAGGGAAAGAGAGTCTTGCCAGTTCACAGGAGAGGGAGATTGGGAGGCTGAGGGGAGAGGTGGAAAGGCAGCTGCAGGAGAACTCGGCGCTCAAACGTGAACTGGTTCAGAGCACTAGCAGTATTGGGAGTATCTCATCATCCTTAGTTGATGGGCTAATTAGCCCATCAGTCATGCTTGAACTACACTCCAGTCAAGCAAGACACTTCCTCCCTACCCCTCCCTCTGCCTCCAGCACTCCTAGAAAACCAGCTAATACCTCAGGCTAGCTAGGCTAAGCATTCTTCAATTATAAACTTCTCCTTACAACTATATATGTAGCTGTAGCTTGCGCTTAGTGCAAATCATTCACGTGTTGTTTCAGACGAGAGAAAACCAAGGTGGGATTGTCTGTTGTCTGTCACCTAAACTTCAATCTGACATTAGTACAGACATGCCTGCATTAAGGTAGGGTCACAATAAATATATAGCAGCACACACACACACACACACACATCTATACATTCAAATGTGCTCTATTAGTGAGACACATAGAGCAGTCAGTATGGTAGAGCTCCTGTAGACTGTGGACCACTCTATTCTGTCGTTGGGGATGAGAGGATCAATGACAGAGTCCCATCTCTGAGTTGTCTGGTGAGACACGGTGTAGGCAGAGGGATGGACGCGGAGCTGGAATGCCACTTTTGCAGTGTAGAATTTCCCTGTGTGACTCTCCATACATCTAATGTTGGACAGAGACACAACAAAACTATACTACATATATAGTGTGTATTTTCTTTGATGGTGGTGGGAATATGTAGTAGAATAGAAAACACAAAGCGTTTATGGAGATTTACACAACATGATAGCGGATACAAGGAAAATGTGGAGGAACTGACATGGTTTTGTTTTTCACACTTCAAGGTTCGTGTGGCATTTTGAAAGTATATTATAACACCATTGAAAGTGGGGAAAACGTGGTGTTGGTGTAAAACCTGAGGCTCCCGGCATAGACCTCTCCACAGGTGCAGTAGTGGAGGGAGGGAGAGAGGAAGATCTGCCCCAGGTTGTAGCCCTCTGGTCTGAAGAACTTGTTGAAGTGATTCTGAGGGACACGGAACTGGCTCGCGGTCTGGCAACGTCTTGTCACCTGTGGGAATCATATCTTCTGGTATAGTGGGATTCATATTTTGAGACACCGACATTTTTTGCAGAAAATAATTCAATTGCTCTTTCTACTTGTGTTCACATTTCCTTTTGAAAATCTCTCTTTCGTTTTTAAAAGGAATCTATGATTTTTTCTGTAAGGATTTCTATACTCTGTTTCTTTCCATATCACACTCAGTGTCACCTCTGATACTGAGCTGTCCACAGTCCAGTATGTCAGCCACACTGTCTACTGGTGTTCCGTGATAGCACACGTGCCAGTCTCTCCACATGTCCAGTAGCTCTGCCCTTTTAGGTACACTGCATTGAAAACCAAGACAACTGCCGTGTATTATATCAATATGGCAGTTGAGGGCTAACTATAGAAACTGTTGCTAACTGCTGGGCCCTATTGTTTCTTGGTATGTAGCTACTGACACATTCCCATTTAGTAATGTTTCAGAAATTGTGTTAAAGTAAACTGGAAAGAGTCAAACCATGACAAAAGCATGCAGTGAATCAGAATTTGGTCACAGTATCAAGCATTTGGGCCATCACACTACATTGCAAACTTGCACAAGATAAAAGTGCTAAGCAAGGATATACCCCTTACTGTAGGCCAAACTTGGTCCAGCCGCTAGGGACAGTGTACTCCTGGGCTGGAGAGCCTTTTCTCTTGACTCTGGGGAGACTGTCAGTATCGTAGCAGTCGCTACAGTAGCACTTGCAGTGGTCCCAGTTGAAATAGCCATCTGTCAGTCAGAGAATGAACAATGATGGATGAGTGAAAATGAACTTTTCATTGTTTGTATATAAGAAAATTAAGTTGGCGTTATGGGCAAGAAGGTGGAAGCATTCATTTAAAAGGCCACACCCTATACAAACTAACTACTGTACCCACAACAATAGAGAGGGCAGAACAAATTCTCTAAATCAGTGAATCAATCTTCCTTGGCCCTCACCTGCTATAGTTCCTCTCAGGGCCCACAGAAATCTGCGACAGAGTTCAAAATATCGACAATCGATTCTTCCTCCCCCTTCTCCAGCTCTCCCTACCTCTATCGGTAGTCCAGCCACCCTCAGCACTGTCCCCTCCCTCATCTCAACTGGCAGACTCTTCACTGCACACACTGGACCGTATATATCCACAAACAGGTACTTTGGACCGGAGAAACTTTGGTGAGGCGGAGGGCTTCCTTGAAACCTGATTTCTCGACCGTTTATCGTGAATCTGATGCCATTTGGAGGGTTAACAGTTACGCCGACAGTCTCTCCTTTTGTCAGGGAGGAGAGGTCAATGTGGCTCCCTCGGACCTCGAATCGCTGAGGGACGGAGAAAGGCAGGGAGGAAGAAAGGGTCGCGAGCCTTACAAGACAGCGTGGCTCTGTGGCTTAGCGGTTAAAGCGCCTGTCTAGTAAACAGGAGATCGCTGGTTCGAATCCAGTCAGGGCCTCTATTTTTTTATCTTTGGCCTAAGTAATCCTTTTCGAAGGTGATTTGTTTTTGAACACTCACTCCAAGTCCGTGCCTCCCTAGCATTGCACTGCCACACTTTAGGGATATACATATACTCCATTCTCTAACAAATACAATCTCTCTTATGTATCAACAGTATACCTCATACAGAATCAGTTGAACAGTCCTGAATACCTGTCCGTCTATTATACGTACCTCTCCTCTAGTGCAGACACACAGTCGCCCGTCATCAGTTCTGTCAAGAGCAGTAGTGTTGCCAGTTGTATCACTGTCGACTCTCCATCTCCTCCAGCCACACACTGTCTCCACGGGTAAACTAGTCACACCTATTCTCAGACATCCTTTGAAGTCCTTGGCACTTAGCTCCTTCACTTCCACCTACAGCAGGGAGCACATGCATACGAGAAATAACTATGCCAAGGTAGGAGTAACGGTTTGGTGCTCCACTATAATTTATTGTCCCACAAATCGTTTCTTGGTCGTCCTTCCCCTCTGTACAGTTTTAGGCTAGATTTTCCACAGTTGGATAATTGCACGGCACTTTCCTGCTGCCATAGTAAGATGGTAGGTCCCGGAGTCCCTACTAAAAGTAGGAAAACTTTAGGCCACACTATTTTCCACAGTCACTCCTCAAAATGCGTTACCCATGAAAGAGAGGGGCGTGTAACCTGAGCTGGTAGCTATAAAAGCCTCACCTGGTAGAGACAGTTGTCTTCCAGAGGTGCAGCGGACACCACGACGGCCTTGTCGTAGCTCTTGGTCCTCCTAGCCGTCAGTCCGTCCATACTGAGCTGCACGTTGGCTCCGCGGTGAGCATGCGAGAAGGGAAGAGCACTAGACACGGGGAGCAAGAGAAGGGGAGAGAATGTTTGCCGCCCCAACCTCAAATGAAGTAGCTATAGCTTTACCTCATGGTAACAAACTCTAAGTTAGGGCCAGCCAGGCAGCTAGAACCAGCCACTCCCATTTCCACGCCTCTCTAGAGAGCTAACTCTCTGCATAGGATGGGGGCGTGGCTGCCGCCCTCACGTGCGCGTGCTATACGCTCGCGCTAGCTAGCTAGCTAGAGCTCGACAGTGCAGTATAAGATCGAGATGGCTTTGTTCAAGAGGTGCAGCTTCTGTGTTGTGACTGGAGCAAGTCGGGGACTGGGGAGGGAGATTGCCGTACAACTGGCCCAGGGCTGGTCCCAGCAAGGTATAAGAGTTACAGAGAACTGCATAAGTATGCATATGTGAGTGAAAAACAATATGGAGTAAAGAACACCTTCTTTTAGGCGTCCAAAGCGACCTGGTCCTGGTGTCCAGAACAGAAAAGGACCTGCAGGCTGCAAAGGCGGACATAGAGAGCTCGTCTCCAGGAACCTCTGTCCACGTGATCCCGGCTGACCTCCAAGACCTCTCCGCCATCCACGAAGCGTTCTCTCGTTGTGCCGCCGTGGCTGCAGAATCGAGCAAGAAACACGAGCAGTTTGTCATTGTCCACGATGCAGGGAGCGCGGGGGACATAACGCAACCTATAGTTCAACAGACTGACCCCTCCGTTCTACAAGAGCAGCTAGCACTAAACTTCACCTCAATGAGTATCCTCACTTCTCTCTTTCTCTCTCGTTTCACGTCAGGAGAGAGAGTGGTGGTCAATATCTCCTCCCTGCTGGCAAAGGTCCACCTGGCTGGGTTTGCCATGTACAGTGCTAGCAGAGCTGCCCGGAATGCCCTCGTTGGAACTTTTGCTGCAGAGAATCCCGATGTTCGATTCCTCACCTACACCCCTGGTGAGTTTCATTCTCTCTAACAGGATCTAGTCAATGCCTTGATTTACATACATACATACACAGATCACCATAGCAGTAGCTATACGCATACTAAGGTTTATACTCTGCCATCTGTTTAGCTAAAAACCTGCAAAACATGTCTTTAGCAAAGACTCCAACTAACCTCCTTTGGACTGTGTGTCAGGTCCATGTATGACGGACATGTTCAAGAGCATTGCTGATTCTTCACACAGTCAGTCCACAAGGGACATGTTCCAGGGTCAAATAGAGAGGAGCGAGGTCCTAACATGTCGAGAATCCATCTCCAAACTAATGGAACTACTGCGAGAGAACCGCTTCGAGAACGCTGCTGTCATTGACTACTACGACAAAATGTAGACATTGGTTTACGTCAGAGGGTAGTTGTGAGGTTCAACTATAGTGCTGATTATGTTTCTGTGTATAATTATACTTAAAAAAAGATTATTGGTGGGATCCCTGTAGATAATCTTTATTCACAACAAGTTTGTGAATGAAAATGAAGTGATCACGACAGAAATGGTACATCGCTTGCTAGTAAACAACCCACGACAAACAAAGAGCTGAGTACAAAGTTCAGCTTGGCCACGCCCACTGAAAGTTCTCGAAATGGTCCTTCTTCTCTCAAAGTTCTCTCCAGTTGAAATGCATAGGGCATTGTGAGGAGAGGTAGAGCCAATGCCAGGGAGTACATCGTACCCCATATAGCAAACACCAAGTAGGGGAAAAAGAGAAGGAGAGCAAAGAGAAAGTAAGAGCCCTGTTTCCCGAGGAGAACGGCCAGTGAGAGTACACCGGCTTCCTTGTCTTTGGCCATCTCTCTCATGTGCTTGCTGTGGATGATTGCCTCTGTGCTGAGAGCTAGAGGGAGAGCGAGTAGGAGAGGGCCGGGAATTACGAAGCGACCGCTCTGAGACGTGTACGAGAAAAGAACAGAGAGGGGACCGAACGTGAACATCGCCAGTAGGTCACCCAAGATGTAGAACTTCAATCTGATACCTCCGGTGTAGATAAAAGAGCTCGAGAGACCTCCGAAAAAGAGCGACGCGAGGTAGAAGCTGTTGGCAGGAGAGAGCCACATTGTGATCCATAAACAGGCCATCCCGAATCCGTACAGGTAGGCGGCCCAGTTTACGACACGGGCCTGGTGGTTCTGGGAATCCGCGGAATGGTCGTCCCATCTGTGGACGGAGTGATTCTGCTGCGGCCCGGGGCGGCGACGGGACACCTCGCGCATGATCTCGAAGTAAGTATTCACCATGTTCCCGGCTCCGTTCACGGCCAGTACGGCGGCAGAGGTGACTAGGAGGACGACAACGGAGAACAAGCCTTCTTTCTTGTAGCTGAGCACTGCCCCCAGAGCCACTGGAGTTACCGCTGCACTGAACGTCCAGAGACGCAAGGACGACAGAATGCTGGGGCTCCCCGTGGCTGCCATGACGCGAGGAAAAGTAACCGCCTAAGAGACGACGGAAGCGTTTTTGCTGACTTGGCAACAAAATGGGTGTGGCTGAAGCCGCGCATGCGCATGAAATTCATTTTGCGCTCTATATCGCCGGCGCGATACTAAAATACTAAAGTGCAAAAAAAACCTCGGCACACTATTATAGAAATGTGGACCCATGCACAAGTGTGGCACCACCACAATTGATGGTCTTGACCATGCATCAAAAAGAACAGCATGTTATGCACCATTTCCATGGATTATAAATGGCCAGCCCTGTATCTGTTGAAGCCCAAAAAATATATAAGGTTGAAAAATTGCCAACCTTTCATCTCTCTTAATTTTCGTATTACCCGCGGATTGTTTAGTGACAAAAAAAGTAAAAAACCTACTTGAAAAAATTGTAAAAAACGGCCAGCCCTTCATCTCTCCAGACAGACGTCTACGCAGTGCTATGCCGAACTGTACGCTGCCCTTTGAGAAACTGGTGGTCAGTGGTAGATTTGTGGGTAAGGGAAGGAACTCAGAGCTGTTCCAGCCAATGCTCTGGACCACCTGACACTTTTAGTGCGGGATCGAGATTCGAACCGCGCACCTATGGTGTCAGTCCCCACGACTCTAACCACCTAGCCACTCGGGCTGGCCTGAGAGGTGATGTAAAACGTTCCATATACACAACCTCCTATTACATCATTGTAAAAAGGCGCACACACCCGGGATCGAACCTGGGACCTCCATCAGAGATCCACAGACCCACAATGATAACAGCGTACATGATATCACTAGTGTGCAAACCCTCGGCGAAGTAGCTCGCAGAGTCTGACACGGGCTAGCTACAGTAGTAGAGAGTCGATACACGCCATTTAATATAAGCGCATGCGCATTAACCGCCAGCGATAAAATGGCGACTAACCGGCATTAGTCTAGCTCTGCAACGGAGCATTTTCAGAGAAAACCCTGCATATTTTCTGACCTTCGTCGCCCGTTGGGTAGATGGTATCGTTTCTGGGACGAACAGAGGTGAGATGTAACCCTCGCTGCGCATGCGCGCCGAGGGTATTATGCACAGTGTTATACAGTATGCACAAAATGAGAGAGAGACAGAGAAAGAGAGCAGGGTTTGAATTAGAATTTGAATTCTTTCAGTTTCTTCGAAGCCTTTCCACTGCTGGAATCAGTCGCAGTTCTTTTCCTCTTCTGTAGAGAGAGAGGGAGAGTTTCAATGGGGTTAAAATAAATACAGTAGGGTTAGGGTTAAACATTGAGGAAAGGACACGGCTGAGATAGGGACACCGCTGTAATAAGGACACTGTCTCTTCAAGAACACACAATTTAACACCTGAAATAGGGAACTTCACTAATACAGACACTTTTTCCCACTGTGTCCAGATTAGAGGAGTTCCACTGTATAGGATCTCTCTAGTGCATACATACCTTTTGCTTGGCTGCATGTTCAGCAACCATGTCACTGAGATCTTCTTTCTGTAGCTTGGTCTCCTTCATCTGCTCTTCATACCTGACCAAAAACAGTTATAGCTTCACGTCACACCTTCTACAATGACGCTGGCTCATAAATGGAGAGCATGCACACCTGGCAGTCATGGTGGCGGCATCGAGATCAAGCTCACTCGGGTCTAGAGCCACCTCCACTCCTTCTCCTCCCCCTCCACCGGTCTATATTAGACAGCATACAACACGGATAAACAGAATAAAAGTACTTCTCTTCTATGGGAGTGTTTGCTATGTTTGCTATGGGAGTGTTTCAAGACTTTGAGCAAGCACTTCACACCCTATTCACAAGCAAACCTTTGTGCATATATATATATATATCATTGCTCTATACATGTATATACCTTCTTATTGGCTCCTGGCACAGCCTATAAGAACAGACAGACGGCAAGGAGATAGAGAGAGAGAGAGAGAGAGAGAGAGATCATTCAACAGAACCAGTGATAATAGAGCAGGAATATGTACACTTACAGCAGAGAGGTCGTACACATGAGAAGATCCCATGACCGCTCCGCCCACCGACTGGGTCTTCTCTGGTAGGACTGTGAACAGAGCAGGGGTGTTGCCTCTGCAAACAGAACAGTGGCAATACATGCTCAACAGCTATACAGTCCATTGGAGTGTGTACCAATTTCTCTATCTGACATGCCTGGGAGTATATACAACTATCATATATGTTTTAAACAATGTTTACAAACAAATCAATTTAATACTGTGCGTCAATGGAAAGAAGCGATTGTGAATATGTTCTTAGAGAAGGTTCATTATAGTCGAACTGTTGATAGCTGAAGCTGTGCATATCTAAATTCTTTGGGTACATAGGCGACTCTTAATATGTGTGTCTAAATGTGTCAAATGGAGGATTTCTTAAAACTACAGTGACAATATTATTTACACTATATAGAGTATTACCACCATGCTGTGTCTCCAGTATTTCTATTGTCGCAGCATGCACAGTGTGTTGTGGTAATGAGACATAATCCAGCTTTTGACAGGTATAGGCTTACCCCTGCTCCATAGCTTCTTCGATCTTTTTCTTTCTGTGTGAGAGATGCAATGTAGCACATTATCACATGTAACTGTACAATAGTGTTGATATATACCTGAGTTGAATCATCTCTGGTGTCTCCATTCCAGCCGGAATGGAAGTGAGACCACTCGGAGTCACCAGTCTGGAATTAATTAGAGGGGTCAACCCCGTAATTAACTGGTCGTAAAAACAGGTTTGACTGGCTAACCCTCCCTCCAGTGGGGTGATGAGGCCAGCCTGTAGATCCTCTGGTTTCAACTCCCCCTCATCCTCCCCCGACTCCTGCAATTACATCATAATTGGTCACATGACAGTGGCGCGATGTCACGTGACTCACTTCCTCCTCTTCCATTTCCTCCTCTGATTCCAGCTCACCCCACAACTGTTTGTCGATCTCATCATCATTTGTCTTCACGTCTGGGAGAAGAGGGGAGGGAGGGAGGGAGGGGGGAATGTTTATACCGCAGTGAGTTCATTACATCTAGAAGCCCGAGGTCCCTTGTGTAGAAAGATTATCGGCAGCAATAAAGTAACAGAGAGAAAAGACTATTGGAAGGTATATTGCGATGTACACACAAAGAGGGAGAGAGAAGGGAGACAAATGGAAAGAGATAGGAGAGGGAATGAGAGAGAAGCAATGTGAGAGAGGGGAAAGGGAGAGGAAAGCAACAAACACGAGGTGTGAAGAGAGAGACGAAGGCAAGGAAACGTTCACATGAGAGGTACTCACGACTGTCGGGGTTGTCAGACCGAATACGTCGCCATAGAGAGGTCGTCCCATCTCATCAACTGGGGGCTTCCCCCAACCTCCAACGAAATAACCAAAGGAGCAACCCTGAGAGAAAGGTCACATGACTCTCATGTAGGAATATGTAAGGTCACATGACTGTTATGTGACAACCCACAGAGGTCACATGACCGTCACTTGCGAGTATGTACAGATCACGAAAGTGCAATGTGAGAGTAGTACGGGTCACATGCTGTCATGTGAGGATCATGTGATCCAGCTTACCTCAGGAATGGGTGCGTTGAGTCCGGGGATCTTGAGATTGGGGTACGAGGGGGGCGGACCGTATCGTTGCATGGCAACCAGCCACGGTGGGGGAAACTTCTGCTTTCCCTGCAATCAGACAAAAATGAACTGGTCACCAAATATCCACCATAGTTTTAAACTCCCTGTATTCAATAGCTGTACACGTATTCGGTAAAATAATGGCTCGCGCAACAAAGAAAACGGAGGAGCTTCTACAACAAACACAGCAAAAAAAAGCAAGAACTATAGTTGCTACTGGTATGAGTTAGAAAACCGACATCCATTGAACTATCCACACAAGCCAAATGATCTTATGATTTCGCCAAAAGAATATTACTCGCATGTCATAACCTCGTCTACCATACCGACACCATGATACTGTATATACAAGAGTAGAGCTAAATTGCTTTCTCTCTCCCTCCCTCCCTGTCCCTCCCCTCCCTCTCTCTTCCTCCCGTCCCTCCCCTCACCATCCCGGTGGGCATTCCGAGAGCTCGCCTCAGCTCGTCAGAGAGGTCCCCCGGTTTCTTCTCCCTCAGACGAGTCTCAAACTCCTTCCCCTCGTAGTAGAGGTCTCCGTGGATTGTCATCTTGGGCTTCGTCTGCCACCTGCACAACACGCACACAGTGACCAAGTTGTTGAGACATGCATGTATATAAAGGGTCAGCTTCCTACTAAAACCATGGCCGATTTTTAGCGCAATTGAAAAAGGGTTGTTGTGTTTTGATGAAACCCATGGATACGAAAAAACCTTTAGCAACCAGCTGAAAAAAACTCTCACATAGTGCCTGTTGAAATTTTTACTTAAACGTAAAATTACGTAAATTTGTCAGAGCAGGCAAGACTTTATCTTCCTCAAACATTTATGTCTGTAAATACAGCACATTAATTCAGTAGTATAACTTACAAGCCAACAACAACAGCTACAATGTACAATTGCTTTCCGTCTCCTGTTACAGGTACATCTCTACCTGAAGAAAGCATCGTGGAGTTTCTGGTAGTCGATGGTGAGTTTCCCCATTCTTTGGCTCGCACACCGCTCTCTGCCGTCTTCTGTTCAGGGCTCTTTTGCGTCTTCCTTCTCCTCACAGAGCTTGTCTCATCTCCATGATCCCCGTGCCTATACGGCAGAGAGAGAGAGAGAGAGAGAGAGAGAGAGGGGAGAGCAGAGAGAGAGAAGAGAGAGAGAGAGAGAGAGAGAGAGAGCAATGCGAGAGAGAGAGAGAGAGAGAGAGCAAGAGAGCAGAGAGAGAGAGAGAGCAAGAGAGAGAGAGAGAGAGGAGAGAGAGAGCAAGAGACGAGAGAGAGAGAGAGAGAGCAAGCAGAGAGTGGTGGAGAGAGAGAGAGAGAGAGAGCGAGAGAGCAACGAGAGAGAGAGAGAGAGCGAGAGAGAGAGAGAGAGAGATACAGCATGTCGTGATGGATGTCAGTAATCGCACGCCATTAAAATACTTTATCACTTCCACAGGGATAGGACACCATATTATCACTAGTATAGTACTTAAGTATATAGGGATGGGAATGGGGCACGATATCAACTACACTAGCATCATAGATGTAATGGGGCTATGATAGGGAGTTTTGTTCATCATATCCTATAGATAATAGCAGGCACTAACTAGGACTCACACACTCGCACCCTACCTCAGAGATAACCTTTGAATGATCAGAGGGGAGCGTTGTAAAATTACGGAGGTTTTTTTTCAATCCCTCTTTTCCCTGAGTATTTTCCTCTTCGAAGCACCGTGATGAGGCACGGGAAGTGTTCCTGGTGGATCACTGCATCAGAGTGGGAGAACAGTAGAACGAATCAACTATAAACTACAGTACAACAACCGCCTCAATATACTCAGTACAACAAACCCCAATATTACTACTACAATTTAGCAGAATAATAATACAAGGGAGTATATCCAGAGAAAAGCTTCTTGTTTAAAAGGTGAAAACTGCAGGAAACTTTCGCTAGTTGGCCCCTCACGTTTATATTTTAAATATGGGCCAGGTAAATTATGTGCAAACTAATTCCAAAGAACCCACACTTAACTTTTCTTTTTACTCGCCCTCCCCAATACATAGTTCTCGTCGTCATCCATAATCTCATTACAGTTTTCAGTGTGTTATTAGGCCGAATCTTCTGAAGATCACAAAATAAACTACTCTCTTTAATATATCTGCCCAGCTAAACGATAGAGACTCCCGGACAAATATCTCACACAAACTCTTAGAAAGGGTTAAGTAAGTTTGTTATTTTTGGTGTTCCCTGAGCAGATGAAACAGTCGGTCTCATACCCTCTATAACACACACCTACCTCCATGACGCTACAATGTATTCATGATCATTGTCAGGTGATCTGTCCACGCAGCCCTGCTGTCCTGAAGACCCAAACATCTCATGTCTGTTCAGCTTTTCCTCTAACTTCTTCTCCTTTCGAGCAACTTCGGCCGGTTCCTTCGGGCTCCTCTTCGTCCCTTGGGAATAATGAGAGGGAGAGGGAGAGGGAGAAGAAAGAGGTGTTACATGAGAAATTTGAGCTCTCTCAGTAAATTGCAATTTTTCCCAGTGGTTTTATTCCGTGTCTTGCGAACAATTTGAGAAAATTTTGTGCAAAGAAACCCAAAATCCATGAAAATTTTTTCCGCCGTCCAATAGTTTATTTGTACAAAACTCACATCTCTGATTTCCTTTCTCTTCTCTGTTCCCTCTTCTGCTTTCCTTCTCTTCTGAGCAGCAGAGGAGTTGGCGTCAATTTCGATCATCGACGTCGTCTGTCAAGGGATATTGGCTGGTGGTGTCTTTGGGCGTTGTCTCATGAAGGCCGTCGGAGAGCTTGAAGGCCTCAAAATACTTTGTAAACTGTTTTTAGGTGCGTCTCCAAGGTTGTAAAACGTCTCCTGCACATACCTGTGGACAAACTTTTTGTTTTTTTAGCGAGCTTGAACATTCTGTAAATTTTATGCGTAAAAATGTTGTTAACAGTGGTCAAAATTTTGCCTCCAAACCCAAAGTAAATTGAATTCAAGAACCTTTCTTTCTCTCGCACACATTTCCCTCCAAATTTTCCCTCCTCATCACTCGAATTCTCCACTTCCACTTCAGGTGGTTCGTTTCAACGGCCTCCCTTGACCACATCCACCCTGACTCCGCCACCTGTGTGACGATGCGAATCTGGTTGTGAGAAACGACGACCGTCTTCCCTGTCTCTTTTTTTTTTTCTTCCTTTCTTCACTCTCGGCTACAGAGAAAGATAACAACACTGTGCTCCTATGTTTTTGTTCTATCTTTAAGCAATACGACTCTAATATTTTAAGCTCCTTACCCACTGTGGCCAACATCTTAACACAACCTACACCACTCCAAACCTATCTGTCTGACATCCTAGATGGAGAAAGTACTAACATTGCTGCCAACCTCTCTTCAGTTTTCTTCTTCTCGCTCTGCCCACAGGTGTTTCTTCGTCCCCCAACGCAACTGGGATGTTTTGGTTTTCTTTTGGCTGCACGAGGAGTGGGTTGAAACTGGACAGTTGTAGGTTGCACTGGTTGGCAGATGTTCCTGCAACTGCCCGTTCGGGCAGTGATGGGTCCCTGCTCGCGTCAGTCCGGAGTGCTGCGCAAATCTGTGATGGTCCTCTCGAGCACTTCGAATAGTAATCCAAACTCGTTAACCCCTAAGTTTCGCCGGGGTGCTTGCAGGCAAGGAGCATCAAATGCCAATAAGAACGGAGTAACAAAAACCTTGGGGTAATTATATTATCTCATAACTAAGAAGTGGTGTATTATAGGGGACTAGACTAGAGTGTGTTCCTCTATTCAGAAGAGTCCTTTTTCCAGTTTAAAACTTAAACAACCAGCCCAATGAGTTACAAAACAATATATAGTAACATATTACTTGTTGAAATATTCAAGAAAAACAATTAGAATTGCTTTCATAGTTGTGGCTCAATTTCTGCTTGTCCCATTGGCTCTTTTCCATACTTTCTTGCGCGTCCGCCCTCCCCCCCTCCTGCCATCCTCTCTCTCTTCTCTCACTCTCCTAGAATTGCCTCACTGGTCACCAGCGAGAGCACCAGTTGCCTGACCTTCTCACCCGCAGCACACAACACCAATCACTGCGTCAACCTTCCAACTTGTAGTTTTGGGGTTTGTTGAGGGTTTGGGGGCTTGGCTGCGTTGCGACCATGCCTCA